GCATGGAATGACATATGTGCTGAACACATGAGATAGCCTTGTTGAGTGCTCCAAGCTTACCCCTGATCAGAGCTTCAGGGAGGAGTAGGAACTCCAAACAGATGATGCATTTGATGTGGTTGTAGCATGCCAGTTGAGAAGTAAAAGTTATGGGATCGTAGATGTTTGCAGGCAAAAGAAGCCTGTGGGACAGCAAGTGCTGTGGGACTGGGGGACTGTCCGTTTTGTGGGACATTACGTTCACAGGCAGAAGAAAGTGAGGGCCTCAGTCAGAGTGAAGCTCAGGAGCATTCTCAGGGACGGCTAGAAAAGGGATGAGACCTGTGGCGCTGTTTGTTGGGTGAAAGGGCCGAAGCAACACCGCGCTCGAGCAAAGGGAAGCACAGGCAGTTTTACACAACTTGGGAGAGTTTCGAGTCTTTGGTCCGTTTGCGTATATAGTGTGGTATGTTGACGCATCCGTGGAGGTCGTTGATGGCCTTGAAGCGGGGGAGGACCGTATTTTTCTTTCTGCAATGAAAGACAAATTGACAAATGGAGCAGCCAGCTGCAATTCTGCAACTTCAACGTGTGCCTTCTCGTCAGGCAGCAAAATGCATCGAATGTGACGAATGGAGAATTTGTTGGGGTACATGCCAATCCGCTATCGACCCGGTCGACCTCTCCATCGGTGCAACCGTGGACTTCACAAATGTCAGATCAAAAATAATATTTTTATGAATGTGAGATGAAAAGTATAGTATGGTCACAGAGATTCCAAGGTGGCGGCGAGAGCCCTGTGAAAAGCGGGAAATGAATATCGATCAGTCATGTAGTCGCACACAGCCTAGCGTGCGTGCTCACAAGCTGGACACTACTCTTCTGCATGTGTTATATATGGAAGGAAGGACTAGAGCTTGTCGACCCCTCTTCAATTCAAGCTGTCAACGGCTTGGAGACTTCTTCGGGGGAGGAAGGGGTATTGGAGAAAGATGGAAGAAATCACAGGATGCCAGGATGGTGATGATGGCTCACCTCTTGTGGCATCGGATCAGTATACCATTAACTGCAGATACTGAATGATGTTCAAAAAAAAAAAGAAAAAAAAGGCTCTTTCCTGGATGTATATCTGTCTTTCACAAAGGGAAGGCTCAGTGGCAGTGACTGGTAAGGCATACTCACGCCGGCACTTTCGTGGATGCATGGGACCACAAGTAGCACGGTCCAATAGGAAGTCCCAGTGTGTGAGTATGTCCTCAGTGCCCATCTAGCACTGACGACCACAAGTACCACGACTGCACGTATTCCATCAGTACTCACAAACACACGCTCGTGTTTGTGAGCGGTGATGGAACGTGTCGCCAACAGCTGCGGACACCCGACAGAATATGTCGCCATCAGCTGCGGACAGAGTATGTCGCCCAAAAGCCGCTAGCAGAGTATGTTGCCAGCAGCTGCTCCTGAAAGGATGGAGGACACGTCTGATGCCTCTGGCTCTACCACTTCGGTGCGAGCTTGCCCTCAGTGTCGGTCCGGCCTGAATTGTGTCCCAGAAGGAACCAATAAAATTTGCCACCAACAGCTGCTCCTCCTGGCAGGGTGGATGCTTCCCGAGGAGCCCTAGTCTCCCGATTCCTATTTGCTTGCGGGATTGATTGATGCATGGCATATGGGATTGTTTGGAAAAATCAGTTGTGCATTCTGTTTGGTAAATTCGTAGTCGTCTGGGATCTGATACTCTGATTCTCCCTTCACGGAGGTATGGGTCCCGAGGGTTTTCAAGTCCCAGTCCCACTTCTTGGGCGATCTTGTGGTTGTTTGTGCTCTAAACTGCCTAATGACCTAGTATGCGAGAGGCTAGGGTTTTGAACACCAGCGACGTGTGGGGCCGTTTTGTGGATGGTTGTGGTGCTGCACTACGTAGTGATATGAAATAGAATGTGGGGCCGTCCTCCCCCCCCCCGCCCTCCCCCCCCCAAAAAAAAGCTGTATCGAGTGGAATTTTCAGGTCAGATACGGGGATAATGACTCTGCATTCATTGTACTTAGTGGGTGAGCTAATCTCAGACGAAGAAAAGGAGGAAAAAGAAGAAAAATGGCCAAACACTTCTGGTGGAAAGTGTTTATTTAACTTTACTATTTTGCTGCTGAATCACCACTAGCTGTCGTAGACAAAACCTAAAGAGTGAGTTTGCATGCCGTGGACCTTTTGGATGAACAGTACTAGCGGACCAAAATGGCTGGCGCTGCCAGCCAACGCGGAAAAAAACTGTGCCCGCTTTGTTACATGTTCTTTGGCATGCAGCACGATTTCCGAGTGGTACAAACAGCCTTGGATGCAGTTTTTTTTTTTTTTTTTTTTTTTCCGTTTAAACAAAACCGTTCCAGCGTCACTAGGCAAGGTGATACGAGCATCCTCCCCTAGTGCGTGGTGGTTTCGTACTGAAATGGCCTTCAGGAATCCATCTGATGTAATGAATGCTACAGAAGTGTAGATGTTGAGCGTAAATGGCCCCCAAAGATCCGATGTAATGACGCTTGGGCGTTTTCCGATGCGTCTCCTTTGCCCAGTCCTAAGGAATTCAAACTGGCGCTGTGCACGATTTACCTGGTGAGACCCATTTTCCGGACTGGCACCCTGAGCCTCTCCGCGGTGGGTCTTTTTTTAGAAGCCGGGGTGGCCACCACTGATGGTTGAAGCTAGACTAGAATGATTCAGGTCAGCATTCAGTCTTCCTCTTTTTTTTTTCTTCAATAGGCCTTCGCTGGATTAAGGGGGGGGGGGGGGTTGAAATGAGCAACCTCCCCGAGTAGGCCAGTTAGGGGCCCGCTCCTTCCGTTGGCGGGGAGCTGCACCTGCTGGAAAACGGGCCCAGCGTCCCTCGACTCGCACCAGAAATTTTGTAGATGACAAGATGTATATTGCATCACAATTGAACCACCAATATCATACTTGCAAGCGGACACCGTCCGTGCGGTTCCGCACGTGAGGCAGACCGCCGGACCGGACCCGCGCAGCGCACGAATGTGCGCCCGACGACCAGTTACACCCCACCCCCCAAAAAAAAATTGGCCCTGTCCGGTCCGGTCCGGGTCCGACTGGTCCGGGGGGAGGGTGCCGCACGCGGCAAAGCGGACCGGACCGGACGCTCGTCCGATCCGTCTGCTTGCAAGTATGACCAATATGCATCCGCAGCCTTGAAGAAAATTGCAAGTTGCCAATTCCAAACTTTTCGGGGGTTGTGGCTACTGGACCACAATGGCTGGCGGAAGCCAGCCAAAACAGAAAAAAAAGGTGCGCCACTGGCGGTTCGGAAAAAGCTTGGCGCCCAGTGCAGCGCCTCGAGGCGCGGGTGTACTGGTCATATAACTGCGGACTTCGGTCGAAAAACTCCTTTTTTTTTTCTTTTTTTTTTTACCGTCTTCCCCCGAACATAAGGTGTATGTGCTCCGCCGACAGAACAGAAGGCATAGGTTGCGATCTATTTGTTGAAACTGCATATGTGTTGTATGTTAACTTGTATTTGAGTGTGGAGCAGGAAGTTTATGACAACGAGGGAGGGAGGTCTGGGTAGGGTAGGTTAGGGTGAGTTTTTAAAACTTTTTAAAAGTTTTTTTGTAGTGGCCTGAATTTGTTTGCCTATAAAGTACTGGCCAATGTTTTATCCTGTGCACGGCAAGTGGGGACCGCGACTGAGGCGGAGCATGAACAGTTGCAGGAAACCCAGGGACGTAACCGTGAGACCTTCAGCCAAGCGCAGTGGGATGACGGCCCAGGCCTATAGTGGTGGGTGCAAACGTAGACCCATGGAGTGAGCCCTCCATCAGGGTGGGGGCTCCCCACTTGCTGCGGACAGCTATCAACCGATGGCAATGGATGCCGTTTGTTCATTGGCAATCCGAGTAGAACACCTATGCGCGCTATTGGAATACAATGCATATGTGCTCAATTCGACGTGCCCTTTTTATGTGAAGTAAATGGACCGAACTTTTCAAAGGTAATATTTTTTGGAAAAATCCGGATAGACTGCATGTGCGTTATGTTCGGGGAAAGACGGTAGTCTCAGCATGCCGCGAGAAAGCTTAGGAAGCTCATATTGGGATGAATTGCCCCCTTGTGAAGCTGTGGCATGTAAACAAAAATGTGGACTGGTGGTGTTGGGACGAAGTGCGACGACAATGCCTGAAATGGATGTGCTGTGCACTTTTTAATCAGCTTCTTTTCTCTGTTTTTTTTTTTTTTTAATTAAAAGGCTAATTCTTTAAGCCCAACCAATTCAATTACCTGTCAAATCTGGACAGGACGGCCTTTCAGGCCGTTTTTATTGTCATTATAGTATTACGGGGAACCCTGTAGCAGCCACATCCGTGCTCAAGCCTCCAACGAGGGAACATGCGGGAGCTGCACCCACCAGCAGGTGCGATACCTGCTACACCAGGTGGGCGATACCGGCCAGGGGTCAGCCGGTAGCATCAGGACCGAGCTTCTTCAATGGGCCAGTCACTGTGCCTCCCTTCCTGTCCCCTCCCCTTATGAACATCAGCAGTCTCTGCTCAATGCCACTCGGGGGGACCAACGGCATATCTCTAGGTGGCGGGCGCCAAGCTTGCCCAGGAAGGTACATGAGGCCGATGAGGATTGAACCCAGAACGTCCTGAATGCCACTTGCGTGCCTTACCAACTGAGCTAGGCGGCTGGATCTGTTTTTTTTTTCATGAGCAGGTTTGTCGTGCTGATTACGCGGGCTTCTGCAGAAAATGTCGCCAACCTGGACCAAGATGTGCTTGCACATTTTTCAATCAGCTTTTTTTTTTTTTTTTTTTTTTTTTTCTGGTTCTCGATCAGCAGTTTCATCACACTGATTACGGTTGCTGTCTGAGAGAGTGTGTTTTTTGCCTACACGAACCATGATTGGCACTAGAACCAGGACCAAGCATGTGTCCATACCATATTTGCGGCGCATTAGTGCGGTGCGCGATGCGGTGCGCTGCGCCGTGCGGCATGCGCGTGGTGACACCGCGCGCGCATGTGCGCGCGCACACGCACGAGGTGCGCCGTGTGCGGAGCGCATGGGGACGCGCTACCAGTGCAAGGTGCGCACTGTGCGCGATGCGTATTTTCGGTGTGTGTGTGTGTGTGTGTGTGTGAGAGAGAGAGAGAGAGAGAGAGAGAGAGAGAGAGAGAGAAGAACCGTGTGCTGACACTATTGGACCGAAGAAACCGCGCTTATCAACGGGCAACATGAATCTGGAAGCGGGGCGACATGTACAAAGGACAAGAAATATGGCGGTGTATCTTTCCATGTTCTGGCGGAAGATTCATTCATACTTTGGGTGGTGGAGAGCGAAGGGCCGATGAATCA